TTATGTCCCCCCCTTAACTTTGGTCTCCCATTTACATGTAGTGGTTTTCATCTTAGTTACATTTGTGCAGCTAATTATCTTCCTGTATGCTGTGTTCTCATTTATATTCAACCGTTTCCTGCATACATATTCTTCTCTCCACCTTTTTGTTTGAGGGCAATTTAGCAGCATGTGCTTAGCATCCTCCTACTCCAAACATAGGGGGCACCTTTCTCTCAAATCCCCTCCTAATCAGCCTTAACATGCTTGCCTTACAGTTTGGGGTGCTGGCAGAGTCAGCAAGCCTATATATAGCTTGACACATACACAGCTGTCAACAGATGCGGGAAGTGCTGTCAGTGTTGTCATTAGAATGTCGATGCTAGGCTCAGACTTTCTCCTTGAAAATCCCTCAAGCCTGCATGGGAGATTCTGATGCCTGAATGTAAATTCCTTGTAGAGGTGCAGGAATGAATGCGTTAACAGAGAATTTCCAACATTGCTGAATCTTAATGTGTTGGGCTGGAAGCATATCAGTTCTACTCTATGGCCACATAAGCGTCAGGAGGGGCTAGAAGTCTTGGAGGAACGTGATCACACTGCACTGTGTTAATGTTAAGTTCCAAAGACGTAGTGTGGGTACATGAGTGTCCTCCATCTGCATCACATTCACTGGTCTCTAATGGAATTGCAGCTTTGTTTTCAGATATCTGTGATGTAAGGAAATTTACAGTCCAGAGTTCATCTTCGAACTATATTAATTAAAATGGTACAGGTAAAGGTGTGTAGCCATCCTCTCTCTCTCCTCCCCTTTTCTTTGCGGATCTGAGTAGTACTGATTGCCCCATTGTAGTTATACTCTTTCCACACTCCGCCGTTCTGCGGGCCACCTTCTGTTTTCCGCACTTGGTAACTGGGCACTGGGCTAATAGTGCCCTGTTAGCCTTTAGATTTCACTTTTTTATATATATATTTTTTTGTGGCACGAGAAACCTTCCCAGGGTCTTTACGGGCCTCACTTAGACTGGAGCATAACACTTAATCCACAACCACAGTACTTGTATACACAAGGTTATTTATTCCTTTGATCATTAGAATGCAGTATTTAGCTCACTATCTCTCACAAAATCCCGGAGAGCGTAATAGGGTTGCGCTTGCACTCTGTATATGGATATAACTAGCCACACTATCACTGACTCAGGGTATATTACTCTTTTTGCGGCCTACACAGCGTCACACACGTCTGACAGTGGCCTCTACCAGAAGGCTTCTTCCTAACAAACCACAATTGGTCACTCTAAATCCTTACGTTGATTTCAAATCAATAACACTGTTGGCCGCCAAAACTTCAGGGAAAAAAAAAAAGGCACGAACGCCACCATTGGTTTAATCCCTCAACACTCATAGTCACAAGACATCTCCTGTCTCTGTCAACCCCAGAATTTACAAACATCTTAAACCACGCAGTCGAAGTCAGCCTTCTGAATGCAACTCAGACTTATGTACCACGCTTTACAAATCCAATATAATTAATACTTTAAAACAATAAACAAAATGGCCACAGTTGTCCCTTTGTCTGTTTAACACACCATGAAGATGGAGGAGAGTTTGGAAGTATAGCTGTACCATTCTTGACCTTAGCACTAAATGGAAGTGAGCAGTCAGCTAAATGCCCAGGCTGCTTTACCCACCTGGGGAAGAACCTTTGGTGCCCATAGTTCACATGTTCTGGAGAGGAGAGAAGTTTTGTGCCTGTACAGTAACTGAAACCTCAGCCATGCAGCCTTTGCTATACCAAATGAGAAAATGCCCTCAGTTACCAGCCTTACCCGTCTGGCTATGTACAGAATCATTGTGTAATTGTTCAAGTGATATTAAAGTGAATAGTAATGCCATCAAGAGAACCACTTCAGTATACAATTATGTAAATATACCTTTAATGTTTTGGCCAGCATTGGCCATCATGAGAGGTTCTCCAGAATTATAGGGAAATACTTTACATGTGTGTTATGCTCATACATCTCTGATATTATATTTGAATATCGTGTTTCATTGCTGTAACACTTGCTCATTCATTTCCATCTCTAATGTAACCTAGAACTGTTCACAATCTCTCTTTCATTTAAAATAACATTAAAGTCTTATCAGTGAATACACCTTTGGCCCTACTTGGCCATCCTCAGAGAAGGGGCATATGCCCAACTAGTAACAACAAACATACAAAGGGGGCACAAACATGGATGCTGCAAAAGGAAAATGATGTGGAATGACGAGAGATCTTAGATTCCCAAACACATTATAGTGTGAACGATATGCAGTAGCATGGAATACACTGACTGACGATCTAGTGCAGTGTGACAGTTTCAGTACAGGAACAGTTGCCTGAAGATGGCCAAGTAGGGCTGAAACATATAGCAGTTGATATGATTTTAGTGTCATTTTAAATAAAAGAGAGATTGTGAACAGTTTTAGGATGCATTCGAGATGGAAGTGAATGAGTGAGTCATATATCTCTGTATATGGATTTTTACCATTAAAAATTAGGAATACTTATATCATGTTGTTAAAAATTAATATATTGTCATGTGATAAATGACTGCACATGGATTTTGGATTGTAATTGGATTTTTTGGACTCTTTAAAGCTTCTAACTATAAATATTATAGTGCTATCACTAATTCACACACTCCACAGTTCACTACAGCATACAGTAAGTCTTCTCAGTCTGCTGTGTCTTCACTGTGCTTCTGGGTAATGTTCGTCGAACAGTGGATGTTCCTCTGCTCCCAGGCTTACATCCCCGCAGGCTGGAGTCTGCCTTACAACTCGACTTGCCATTGCTACACAACTTACAACAATGGGGGCGGGTCTGTCTCCAAACTGCCAACTGCAGACTTAGGACTCTTTATAGGCTTCTCTAAATGACTGGCTTGTCCTGTTTGTCCTCATAATATAGCCTCAGGATGAACCCAACAGAAAAAACCACTTCCAAGAATTCCTCTGTTGTTTAATGAAGTTACCACTGGTGCAGACCCACAGAGAACACTGTTCCCAGCAGTACTTCCATGGGTTTCATTGCATGGCCTGACAAATTCCTTTGTTGTGTCACTGTTTATTGTGCAACAACCTAATAACGGATGTCTCTTCTGATTAAACAATTTCTATTTTATGGAGCCAAAGTGCAGTGTCTTCTCCTTCCCTCACTCTCCCCTGTTGCACATGTTTTCCCTTCCACCAAGGCCTGGGCCAGCAAGCATTGTGCACTGGAGGGTGTGGTAGGAGAGCAAGACATTGCACTGTGCCTCCACAAAGTCAGATCTTTATGCTGAAATTCTACACATGGGAGGTTCAGAGTTCCCTTCTGCTGTGTCTCAGCATAAATGTAAATGCAGGAATTGTATCAGTCCGCAGTTGTGAGTCAGCTTGCCAGAAAGGTGAAGTTTTGATTCTAGATGTGAAACTGATCACTTTGTCACTGGTCAAATGTGACTGTATCAATCAAGTGCCTTCCACAGAATTATGACCATATGGTGCCTCTCATCAGCTGCCCAGGTGCAGTGATGCCCAACATATGTTGCTCTTCCTGGTCATGCATGAGGAGCAAATGATGCACATGGCAGACTGATACATTGTCACAGGAGTGTAAGCCACTGTGAACATTAGAAATGAAATGCTTAACCCATTGCTTCCCAAAGTGTGTTTTCCCAGGGCAGAACATACATATTTTTCTTCTTAAAAATTTGCAAATGGAGGGCCCACCTCCCTCATTTCACCTGCTCCACTCCCTCCATATATTTAAAAAATGTAAGAAACATCATGTGGAATTGTAACTTCATTTGGAATTTGGTGTATGAAAATAATCGATACTCACAGATAAACAGGTGACCCAAATGAATTTAAATTTGTACCACCATGTTGTCCATCAGCTGAGTGCTACCAGCCATGGCAGTTTATTGGCAAAAAAAAAACCCAAATCCTAACCTCAGAAGGTTTTGAGATATTCAGTTTTGAAAACAGAACTAAATGCCTAACCTTACAGACACTGAGGCAGATTCTAAGGATAGGCCTTGGGTTTTGTGTTCACAGACTCCTTTGGCTGCTAGTGTTATCAAAGCAGATTACATGGCGGTAACTTCTTACACTTACTTGTGTTGTCCACTACTGTGTAGGTCCTGAACAGTCAATTCATAGCTCTTAGTGGATTTTTCATACCAGGTAGAGCTGTTCTCATACCAAACAGAGAGCAAGGAATATAGTCTCCTTTAGCACAGGATGTGACTGCTTGACTTTATGGCAAGACTGTGACAAATGAGAGAAAATATGTGCATAATTACAAGAGGTGGAGGACAAAAAAGTCCAGATGTAAGGTTTGAACAAAATTCTTTATATGGATCCGTTGCAACACAACAACAAAACAGACTGTTTCATTGCTTTGTTGTCATGGATCAAAATAAAGAATTTTGTATAATAAACACAACAGATCTTGAAGTTTATCATTCTGGAATTGCTCTTGTGTTTATATGTTCAAGTATTGCTGGCCATTGTTAGGCATTCATTCCTCCTATCTTGTGACTGTTAATGTGGTAATCACTCTTCTTCAGGTATTTGTCCCATCAGTGCACAATGTACCCCAGTTAATTCATGCAATTTGTCTAATAAATTTCCTACCCAGAATGGTCTAAAACAAGGAGATGCTTTATTGCCATTCCTTTTCAACTTTGCTTTAGAATATGCCATTATGAAGGTTCAGGGAAACCAGGTGGAACTGAAATTAAACGGGACACATCAGCTGTTGGCCTATGCCGATGATGTGAATCTACTGGGTGATAACGTAGATACCATAAAGAAAAACACACAAACTTTAACTGACGCAAGTAAAGAGGTTGGTCTAGAAGTAAACACAGAGAAAACTAAGTATATGTTGCTGTCTCGTCACCAAAATGCAGGGCAAAATCATGACATAAAGATAGGAAACAGATGTTTTGAAAATGTGGCACAGTTCAGATATTTGGGAACAATAATAACAGGTCGAAATCTGATTCAAGAGGAAATTAAGAGGAGACTGAACTTGGGTAATGCTTGCTACCATTCAGTCCAGAATCTTTTGTCTTCTCATCTGCTGTCCAAACACATAAAAGTTAGAATATATAAAACTATAATTTTGCCTGTGGTTCTGTATGGGTGTGAAACTTTGTCTCTGACATTAAGGGAGGAATATAGACTGAGGGTGTTTGAGAACAGGGTGTTGAGGAGAATATTTGGACCGAAGAGAGATGAAGTGACATAAGGTTGGAGAAAACTGCACAATGAGAAGCTTCGTAACTTTCACTCTTCTCCAAGTATAATTAGAAAGATCAAGTCAAGGAGGATGAGGTGGGCAGGGCATGTAGCAAGAATGGGGGAGACGAGGAATGTGTATAGGATATTGGTGGGAAAGCCAGAAGGAAAGAGACCACTGGGAAGACCAAGGTGTAGGTGGGTGGACAATATTAAAATGGATCTTAGAGAGATAAGATGGGATGATATGGATTGGATTGATATGGCTCAGGATAGGAACCAGTGGAGGGCTCTTGTGAACACGGTAATGAACCTTCGGGTTCCATAAAATGCTGGGAAATTCTTGAGTAGCTGCAGAATTGGTGGCTCCTCCAGAAGGGCTCAGCTCCATGAGCAAGTAAGTAGGTAAGTAAGAGTTTGGAATACGATAATTCAACAGGGACTCTGAAGGCCACAATTTCTGCAGTCAGATCTGCAGTTTTCTAAGAACTCATGACTGGTTATGTATTTAATAATTCTTTCTTCATTACATCAAAATTTCTTCTATAATCTCACTGTGGCCTGCTGTGCTCCTTGTGATTTTCATTAATTCTTCTAACTTCTGGGAAGAAATCTCTTGGCTTTAGATGGTCTTTTGCTTCCTTCACTTTTATATTTTTATGTGGTCTGTTCACAAACCAAGCCTTTTCATCTGTCTCTGTCTTCCCCAAACTTCTCCTCTGTTTCCTCCCATGTTCTTCTTTCCTTCTGCATGACTACTTCTCTGATCTGTTGTTTTAGATGGTACAAGCTGGTTCAGATATGACCGGGACTCATGTGTGTAAACAAGCCACACTGCACAGCAGCTGTGCGACCTTGAGAGAGTGAAGCCATAACCTCCATCCTCCCTCCTGTTCGGGTTAGAACCTGTTCAGTCCTGTCTGGGAGTTGCTAGAGTGATGAGCACACAGACGGTACCGCGGAGCGTGGAACAACACATTGTGATCAAATTCCTCGTTTGAGAAAACGAAATTCACCACAGACTCCAACATTATGGGGAAGAGCATCCCTCATGGACCTGTGTGTTACACCAAAGTGCATCAGAGAGGGCAGAGAGTGTGTGGAGAATGAACCGCATGATCGTCGGCCGTGAACATCTGTCACCGAGCCAAACATTGATCGTGCAGACGCACTTATTTGTGAGAATAGGCGCATCACTATCAAGGAACTTGGAGCAATGCTGTCCATCAGTGTTGGTAGTGTAGAAGACATCGTGAAATACCACCTGCACTATTGCAAAGTGAATGCACGATGGGTACCATGCACTTTGACGGATGTGAACAAAATGGTGCGCAAGCAAGCTACCAGTCGTCTCCTACAGCAGCTTGAAGAAGGTGACGCATTTTTTTAAGTCTGTAGTGACCACTGATGAAACGTGGGTGCACTACTTCATTCCTGAGACCCAGCAGTCATCACGCAAGTGGTGGCATACCAGTTCTCCCAAACCCCAAGAAAGCACAGAGGAGCCATTCAGCAGGAAAAGTGATGGAAACGTTCTTCTGGGACTGGCAGGGGGTTATCCATGTAGACTTTCTGACAGATGCCAGAACAGTCAATGCAGTTTTTTACTCAGACTTCCTGGCAACAGACGTGAAGGAAAAGATCCGATCCAAGTGGAAAGTGGGTAGCCTTCCTTCAAGACAATGCACGCCCCCATATGGCCAAAACAACAATGGAGACCCTCCGGACATTGAAATGGAGCCTTCTGACACATCCGCCGTACAGTCCCGATTTGGCCCCAAGTGATTTGTACCTGTTCGGAAGGCTCAAATCAGACTTGCAAGGCATGCAGTTTGTGGACAACAACGCCATCATCCAAACTGTTCGTGAGTGTATACGCCGCCAACCACAAGCCTTTTTTGAAAAGGGCATCAGGATGCTTCCAGAACGTTGGAAAAAATGTGTTGACTCTGGAGGGGAGTACTTTGAAGACTGACATGTGCAAGTAAGTGTTTGGCATTTTTTTTTTAAATTAGTCCCAGCCATATTTGAACCACCTTGTAAATTAGAAAAAAATATGATCTGTGATTTTGGTGAGCACAGAACATTAAATGAAAGAATATCTCTCATACCTGGTATTCTAAATATAGATGCTTTATCAAAGAAATCTGAGAATTTCTGTGCATCCAGCGTTTCACTTGAGATGAGAAGCTTAAGATCAGGTCTGAACCTAGCAATGTCGTTAACAAGTCCAAATAAAATATCTGTGTGCAGAGTTCTTTCACGAGCTTTATCAATGATCATTACACTGCAAGAAACACATATTCTATAAATATATAACTAATAAACTTACGTGCACTCTTGGCCGCGCCATAGCTCAAGCGGTTAGTTGCTGTTTCCCATTGTGGTGGCCTGGGTTCGATCCTGGGGTCTGGTCAAGTGGGATTTGTGGTGGACAAAGTGGCGCTGGGGCAGGTTTTCTCAGAGTACTTCAGTTTCCCTTGCCAATCTTCATTCCACCAATTGCTTCACAATCACCCTCACCCATCATCTGGGGCTGGTACAATAGGCCAGAAGTGGCCATAGTACAAGGAACTTAGTCCCACCCCACTAGCAATAAAAAAAATAATACATGCACTCTTCCACCTTCTACATTTATTCATAACACCATGTGCCTTTCTTCAGATATATAGCAAAAACAATGAGTGTGTCATATTCAAGCATTTTCTTTTAGTAAAATTAGAAGGGTCCTGCACCTTCTAGTGTAGTGAAACACTATAAAAGTCTTATGTAAAATGAATATACCTGGGAAATATGGGGTTGATAGCACCATGCATTAGTGTTTCAAATGGAATGGGAAAAGAACTGCGGTATGGTAGAACTTGTTATTAGTGACAATGTGTAAAATGTTATTATGGTACTCAAACGTTTACACAATAATATACTAGGTGGTTCAAATATGACCGGGACTGATTTTTTGTAAAAAAGCCGCACTGCGCAGCAGCTGTGCGACCTTGAGAGAGTGAAGCCACAACCTCCACCCTCCCTCCTGTTAGGGTTAGAACCTGTTCAGTCCTGTCTGGAAGTTGCTAGAGTGATGAGTGAACAGAAGGTACCGCGGAGCGTGGAACAACGCATTGTGATCAAATTCCTAGTTGGAGAAAACGTCCTGTCTGCTGAAATTCACCACAGACTCCAACAACAGTATGGGGAAGAGTGTCTCTCACGGACCCATGTGTTTGAGTGGTGTAAGTGCTTCAGAGAGGGCAGAGCGCGCATGGAGAATGAACCGCATGATCGTCGTCCACAAACATCCATCACCATGCCAAACATTGATCGTGCAGATGCACTTATTTGTGAGAACAGGCGCATCACTATCAAGGAACTTGGAGCAATGCTGTCCATCAGTGTTGGTGTTGTGGAAGACATCATGAAATACCACCTGCACTATCGCAAGGTGAATGCACGGTGGGTACCACGCACTTTGATGCACGTGAACAAAATGGTGTGCATGCAAGTTGCCAGTCGTCTCCTACAGCAGTTTGAAAACGAAGGTGATACATTTTTGAAGTCTATAGTGATCACCGATGAAACGTGGGAGCATTACTTCATTCCCGAGTCCCAGCAATCATCATGCGAGTGGCGGCATACCAGTTCTCCCAAACCCAAGAGAGTGCGGAGGAGCCGTTTCGGCAGGAAAAGTGATGGCAACGTTCTTCTGGGACTGGCAGGGGGTTATCCATGTAGACTTTCTGACAGATGCCAGAACAGTCAATGCAGCTTATTGCTCAGACCTCCTGGCAACAGATGTGAAGGAAAAGATCCGATCCAAGCGGAAGAGAGGTGGAAAGCGGGTAGTCTTCCTTCAAGACAATGCACACCCCATATGGCGAAAACAACAATGGAAACCCTCTGGAAATTGAAATGGAACCTTCTGACACATCCGCCGTACAGCCCCGATTTGGCACCAAGTGATTTATACCTGTTCGGAAGGCTCAAATCAGACTTGCAAGGCATGCGGTTTGTGGATGACGACGCCAACCACAAAACTTTTTTGAAAAGGGCATCAGGATGCTTCCAGAACGTTGGAAAAAATGTGTTGACTCTGGAGGGCAGTACGTTGAAGACTGACATGTGCAAGTAAGTGTTTGGCAATTTTGGTTTAAAAAAAAATCAGTCCCGGTCATATTTGAACCACCTTGTAGTGTACCATTCTTTCTCAGACATGCCTGAGTGAGTTAGTAGATTAATATATCATCATCTTCTGGTATCTGACAGTATGTACTTTGATAGACAGAGCACCATGTTGATGGAAGTGTAGTACATTTTCCAAAACATCTGTTATCCATCTACCAAACTACATGCCATTACATATGAGACTATAGTCTTAATATTCACCATCACAAAAACCTCAACTCTTATACAGTTTTGCTAAAGTTTTGACATAAAGCATCATATGGGTGAATAGTAAAAAGTTTTAGTACATGATCCTGTATTGTAAAGTTATTCTTCGTGAGAACTCTTTAAAAAAACAGCTTCATCTCTAATCTGCATGCTTTCACTCAATCTTAAAACATGTACAGTTTAGAAATTATCATTATTTTCAAGAGTTCTGTTAGACTGTGACTCAAACGGACCAAGTGAGCCATTCCCTAGTGACAGATGATTATGGAGCACAGATGGAATGATAACGGGTACTGAAAACAAGAAGTGTTTGCAGAAAAAACTTCCTTAGTTCCACTGTGTCCACCATAAATACCACATGGACTATTCCGGGATTGAATCCAGGCCTCCACAGCAAGAAGCCAGCAACTAACCACAGAGATATCCATACTGTTCAACATCAAAAGTAGCATAGATATTTGTGATTACTCTAACTGTATGAGCACTGTATCTAAACGTTCCTGTCACTTCCTATCTTCTCTCAACATACCTGTATGACTGGAGAGCGGGTTCTCAGACACACTCCCTGTGTAGTGTTCCATGAGTCATGTACTTGATAACTGTCCGCTCAGATGTGCAATCCTCAAATCTGATGCTGTAGCCAACCTGTGTTAAAAGAATGTCTTGAAACCAAAATGTTCCAGTAATAAGGCTTTCATGGCTGTGCAAATATAGATTATGGTCTTTGGTTATGACGCTGTCTAACTAATAATTAATGTTTTGGTGGAATCTGGTGCCTCCATTTTCATAGTCACACTTACTTGACATAAGCAGCAGGTTCCACCTAAGATACTACATAGTGACATAATCCAGAATAACACATTCCACTTGCCTAAGCAGTGACCTGCCTACTTGTCGAACTGTGGAATCTGAGTTGTTTTCCCAGAGCCTGTCTCCCCTTCTATGGTTAGAACTTATAACAGAAGTCAAATATGTAATACATATGAATTAACTTTCCTGTCAATTTATAAATTTATGTCAGTTTATGAAATTTACTCTTTCTGTACTCTTTACACACAGTGGTCATGGCTCTTAAACCAATGCACAAGTATTGTAGTAGAGCTTTTTCAACAGAATATGAATTCTCATTCCTAGCCTTCTTCAATTTCATGAGTAAAATTTAATTTCTTAATTTGAGGGATATACCATCTTTAAAATTTTAGTTACTGTATATTGTTATACTGACACGGAAAACAGCAATATCCTGGCAGAGAAATGTCCTCCTACTCATAATACATATTGTGACGTGTTGCACTAGCAGGACACCCCTTCCCCCCTGGGAGCGGTGACGTACCGAGCGGAGCCAAAGCGAGCCAAGTCCTAGCACACTGGTCGCTATGCAACACGGGTAAACGGTGGTTGCGAGAGACAACTCCCGACAGCGTTACCAGTAACACCGGTAAACACGGCGTCAGACAACAGTGGTGACTATTACGTGGCTGTTTTCTGTGTTGTCCGGAACGAGGCTAAATAAGGAGCAGCGAAGACTATTCACAGTTAGTTCTCAAGTTCTCGAGTTACGAGTTACGAGTCAGCCAGGCAGTCAACTAGCAATTGCAGTGTAGTATTTGTGATACTGCCGATGGCAGTAATTCTCAGATTGTTAATTGTGTGATTGTACAATAACTCATAAGAGCAAATGTGAAATAAAATTCGCTATATCAAATATGGCGTGAAATTATTTGTCGCATTATACACCCAACACGTGACAATATAAACAAGTGTAACCACATTGTAGAGTCCCCATTTTTTCATTTGTCATCTGTGGCTAAACATTATAATATTCTTTTAATTAGAAAACACGGAAACATCCTCACCATTAACTATCAAAATGGTGTCCTCTAATGTCCATAGAAAATTCACCTGCCCCAGTTTTACCAAAACAAATATTTCTAAATGTAGAGATTACCTACCTTTCAGTATTGTAGCCAACAGCTTTTATACCTCCTTGAAGCATAGTTTTCCTTATCATGCATAAAAATTATAATCTGAGGCAATCTCATTTAATTCACTGTGTTAATCCATCTCTGGAATTCACAGTTCTCATATACAGAGTTGCTGATGTCAGCCACACAGTTCAAGAGAATATTGTATCTTTACAAACATTTTATATTTTTCAATTAAACCTTCTGAATTATTAACATTCCAGTGAACATAAACTTCTCCAGCTGTTTTCCAAAATACTCAACCATATTACCTTACAGCTGTAAGGATGACTGACCTGATGATTTTCAATTGACTGTATAAGAGCATCTCTAAAAGTAAAAGATGGGCAAGTTTCTTCTGGTTTCTTGCAGGGTGAGTTTTTTCTTTCTGTTTCTGTTAGTTTCGGTTTATTTTCATCTTGCACAGAAAGGAATATTGCACATAAGAGCCATATGCTATACTTCACGTATAACATGAAGGACAGGATATTCAGAAGTATTACCATGAACAGCACCCAAGTCATGAATATCACCATGTAACTGGAAATGCATTTGAAAACAAGTCAAACTTGCCACCCAAAACGACAATAAGTTAAAGGAATCAGAAGTTGCAGTCTTGACCTGGGCACTTGCTTCATCTGTCTCTTGCAACAAATGCCAAGGCAATACCTCAAAATAATCCATGGCCACTTCCCAATCCTTTGCTAATCCCATTCACTGCCATATAGCTACTGTAGCTGAACAGAATTTTTATATAACCTACAGTCTATGGACTCGCTAACACTAAGCAATGAGTTGTAACAACTGATCCGTTTTAAAGCAGACAGCCAATACTTCATCAATATGTTACTTTCAACAATATTTAATGCTATAAACACATATGTAAGAGACTTTATGAATCATAATCATTCTTGAGAAGCTAATGACCCACTGGCTGTTCAAGAAGCCACCTGCCTTTATGGAACATAAAGGTTCATTACTGTGTATGCTCTGAAGTGTAATTTCTATTTACATACTGTACATGTAGCATGTTCTAATCACAAACCAGAGACCTTCTGAAATGCTCTCTGTATACTGGACACACATTTCAATTACATAACAATTCATTAATCCTTTAAGTGCTGAATTTGTCATCCTTTCTTCACAAATTTCATTCATAACTGTTAATAGTTCAGAGTCACAGTTTGCTCAAACTGCCACAAGCTGGAAAGTATGGTTTATTTCCTCATATTAACAACATTCAGAGTAACAAGAAAAAAGCCAGATAAGATATCATCTTCATGTTAGCGAAGAGATAAAATCTTACCTCTTGGTCTGGCTTGGAGCCTGGCATCCTCAAAGCCTGAATAAATTCAATTTCATCATCCAAAACCAGGTCATACGCTTGATCTTTTTCATGAATTTTTATCATGTGCGCCAAATTGGAACACAGCCAGTGACATTTGTTCCTCCTCCCATTTCTGCTGCTCATAATGTTGTGCTTTTTCACGCTCATCCACTTCCACACACTTCTCATTTGCCTGGCCCTGCAGAACAGAACATGTATTGACCATCTCCACTGTTACTACTCTTACTAGCAAAATTAAGACGAACGTTCTGATGGATGATATCTCTACTCCTTCGGCATATTAAGCTTTACCGGTACACAGTGAGCTCTGTCTTCTGGGATATAGTGCCACATAGCCCATGAAACTGATGGTTCAGAGAACAGGTCACCTCTATCTCCAGAGTCTAAGGATAGGCAAAGTAAGAAACCAGCGTGGCAAGCAGAGCCTTCCCTTATTCTTCAACCCTGAAGATGGAGGTGATATGTTCTTGCAAAGTGTTGGTTGACTTTCAAGGGGCTATACAGTGTCAAATCCCAGAACGCAGAACTCCTCATGGCCACCACTGTGATTTCTACCACTACAATATACAATTCATGTTTTCAGTATTACTGATATTATGCCAAATTACAATCCAACCGCCAGTTCAATAGTACTAGAGGATTTAAAATTTCCTATTCCTGCTACTCATGAATTAAAAACTGACTACCAGTCCCAGAGTATCCAGATTAATCTCCTCTATTCTCACATGATAAAGGTGTGCACATAAAATAGTTTTCAGTATGCATACATAATTCATTTTTTTACA